TTTTTAGATGAGTCGGGTTTAGTCAGAGTGGGCGGTAGATTAAGGCATTCTCAGCTCTCTTTTGAGGCGAAACATCCCTTATTATTACCCAAAATTCATCATCTTACCAATTTAATCATAACTCAAACTCATATCGAAAATCTGCACCCTGGGCTTAATACAGTGCAGTATCTTATTCGCCAAAAATTTTGGATCATATCTGCGCGTAAAGCAATTCAAAAGGTCTTATCCCAATGCATTCGATGCGCTCGTTTAAAACCTAAATCATACACACCATATATGGCAGATCTACCCGATTTCAGAACTTCCCAGCTGAAGTGTTTCTCCCACGTTTGTCTGGACTATGCTGGTCCAATAAAATCCTTTGTAGGTCAAAGACGTCGTGGAGCGCAAGTCACGAAATCGTATATTGCGGTGTTTGTCGACACTTGTGTCAAAGCTATCCACATCGAGTTAGTTTCAAGCTTGACTACGGAAGCTTGCATTGCAGCGTTACGACGCTTTGTAGCTAGACGTGGCACTTGCGTTCAAATCGTAAGTGATCAAGGAACCAATTTTGTCGGAGCTATTAAAGAACTCCAAAACCTGTCAAGATTAGCTGCGGAAAGTCTGAACATAAAGTGGCACCTGAATAGTCCTGGTGCTCCCCACCTAAATGGCTTAGCGGAAGCGGGAGTCAAATCTGTCAAAACTCATTCATATCGCGTAATTGGCAACCAAATCTTAACTTTCGAAGAACTCTATACCCTTCTCTCACAAATAGAGGCTCTTCTCAACTCGAGACCTCTCTGGGAACAGAGTTCAGACCCAAATGACCTGTCACCACTGACACCTGATCATTTTCTGACCACAGAACCATTAATTTCTTGTCCTGATCCGGACCTTTCTTCCCTAAAACTAAACACTTTAAATCGTTGGCAACTTGTTCAACGCCTTCATTCAGATTTTTGGAAGCGTTGGAAAATCGAGTACCTTAACACCTTGCAACAACGTTGCAAGTGGTCCGATCCTTCCGTCGAAATTAAGCTTGGCGCTTTGTTGTTAATCAAGGATGAATCCAGACCACCATTGCACTGGTCACTGGGAAGAATAGTAACCGTGCATCCTGGTCCGGATGGTCACGTTAGAATTGCTACAGTAAAAACACAGCACGGGCTCCTTACTCGTCCAGTGGTAAAGTTGTGCCCTTTGTTATTAGATTCGCGTTAAACTCAGATAAGCAATCTCTGTGTGTTGTGTTTTGTTTTTGTAGTTTTATTCTATTTTATTCTATTTTATTATTAGTATTATATATATTTTTTTCTCTCATTTATTCAACGTAAAACTCCGTTTTAAGTGGGCGGTTAATGTTCATGCAACTTTGTTATTTTATATATTTATTCAAAAATACGAAAGAAAAAACCGTTAAAAGCCATACAAGTTCAAATCAAAATTGGCACCGCTCGCGCAGACTCGGCGTAGGTGAAAAATATGTGATTTATGAGAAGGAAGGACAGTACGAAGCCGTGTCTCTAAAACCACGTCCGCTTTTTCGGTCGTTATCAAAATCAAAAAACCTATCGAATTCAAGGCAAAAATTCCTTATTTTTATTTCTAAGACTGTGTTGTATCGGTGTGTCGCTGAGAAGCAGACTTTCTGGACACGAGGAGCTCCTCTGGATCGACGAAAACCAGCATAAACCAAGTAAGTGCCAATCCTCCATTGTCTTTGTATGGCTCGGGTTTATGTCCATTAATATTTGTGCGGCAAAATTGAATTTAGCGCTACAGTCCCGCTGCTCTTTAAACTTTCGAAAACCTAACGCAAATTTTCGTGAACAAGTATAAAAAAATCTAAAGTTAAATTAGACCAGCTCGAATGATTAGAGTAGGTACCTAAAACAGGTGTCACTCTTCCATTAATACCGATATTCTCAGACCTTAGTGCCTCAGGGCAAAAACTACAGGGGCAGCGGGGATAACTAAAGCTGTTAATGATGCTAAGTCAGTTAATCAAAAGTTGAAAACAAAAAATCAAAGTCCTAATCAAACGATGGAATCCATTGCCATGGAAAAAGTATTATTCTTGAAACCATACAAAACTGGTCTGGGTCTTTTTTACACCAAGGAGGATGTCAAGCAAAAAACCCTTGACAATATTTGAAGAAGCATTACCTATAAAACTACCACAATATCGAGCTCTATCCAACATTGTCACTAAAACATTTTCGTGGTGTATTCATCAAGGATCAGTTACCCACCATGAAAATACACAAAACCAAATTTGGTATTATTAATTTGGATAAGAGCACACAGCTGAAACTCATTGGACGGCATATAAATGAATTGGTTAAAACATTCACTATTTTGATAGTGTAATGCGATCACCTTTGGAGGATTGAAGTACTCCAATTCAAAAGGTACTCAAATTCAAAAGGTGAAGGTAAAATATTTTATAACCAGAATCCTTATCAATCGTACAATTCTGTTAATTGTAGTCTTTTAGGTTTAAGTTTTTTATATTATTGTAAAATCAAATAAAAACTCAAAATGCTCCATTTGATTTTTTATTAATGAGTAGACTTCTCAATTGTAAACATGTCGTATACGTTCACGTTATCGGGGAGAGCAGGATCATCGAACCTTTCTGCATCAAATATTCATCCACCTATAGTTCTTAACGATTCCGACCAATACGATATGGGTCTTATCAATTTTGGAAGTTATAATTCCATACCGAACATTGACAGGTCAAATAATACTTTCCACTATGACATTGATGGTAAGTGCTCGATGCTCGATAACAATTCCAGAAGGCTCCTATGAGATAAAAGACATCAATGATTACTTAAATGCCTACGTAAGAGACAATAGGTGGAATTAATAAAAATAAGCATTTGCTTTTACTAATATTTTTCTCAGTAAATGCTTGATTTTATATTAATAAAAAGGAAAAGCAAATCATTTGCAATAAGCATTTGCTAACGCCCACTAGCATAAGTACCTATTTGCACCACATCATAGATTAATAAAATTAGGAGTTTGCTAATGAAAATAAGCAAATGCTCCTAAAAGTATAAGTCTGTCTATTTAGTTGGTTTCAATTCTCGCTTTGAAATGTTGAATTCCAATTCCAATATTACAGAACATAGTTCGATTATCACTTGCTTCAGATCCAACAATTCATGTTTCATATTACATAACGTAGCAAAATTGCGTTATTTTTCTGCACTTTATCGATGGCAAATTTCACATCTGTTAAATGTTCACCTACGAAAATGAGACAGACCTATACCTATAATGGGTGATCTGGGTGTAAAAAAAAATAGTGAACCGGACTTCGAGAGGTTATACTACATATGAAAACTAAAAAAAAGATGAACATATGCCCTGAAATGCTTTTTCGTTTTGTTAATAACTACCCTCTACCCTTATGGAAACCACCCTTTCAGAACTGTTGCGACTTTTTTTACTATCGCCATTCGCATCGAAATGTATGTGAAAATACCAAATTTCAAGGAAAATAGTTTGCTACTGTTTTTAAAAATAAATGAAATCTATTATTTTCATCTACCATTTGAAGGGCTATAACTTCTTCAGGAAGCATCTCAGGGCATATGTTCATAGAAAGTTTTTTTTTAAATTCCCATATGTAGTATCACCCCTCGAAGTCTGGGTACACTTTTTTTTTACACCTTATATTGGACTAGAATGTTTACTGCTTACTTCTTTTATGATGAAATTCCAAAACAAGAATAAAAAATTAAATAATATGCATTTGTTAATAATTTTAGCTCAAGTTTTCATACAAGCATATCCTTATGGCAAAAATATTTGTTATTAATATGAAAATAGGGATTTGCTTGTACTACTAGCATTTGCTGAAAAGCAAAACCTTTTGCTTACAAGCAAATGCTTCTAAGCAAATCCTTATTTTTATTAATTCCACCCATATTAAAGAAGATGATTCAAAGATAGGCCTACTCGCCAATGACAATGCATTACAGTGTGAAATTTGGTGCAACAAAGATATACATTTTAACATGAAAAATTCTATTGGAAATTTATTGGGATTCAAAATTCAACAACTTGAAGCAAATAGAAAACACGTGTCGGAAAACCCTGCGGATATTTTCAAGTTCACTGCAATTTGTATTCAGTGTAATTTAGTGATAAATGCCTATGTTGGTGATCCGGTTCATATACTGCACAATGTTCCATCCCACTTTACCACCAGGATTTAAAATTGTTGAAAAACCCTCAAATGTCAAAAATTTATTTGCCAATCAGTACCCATTACATTGATAAGACTTTATTGAAAATTACCGATCTAAGTGGAGAAGTCATTTATTTCCGCAGTGAATTGATGACTGTTCCATTGCATTTGAGAAGAGCTTAGAGAATACAGAAATGGTTTTTTCATATAATCATAATTCATTTAGTGCACCTTCCGATAACAACGATGACAACGAAAACGTCAAAAATAAGTCAGTGAAGGAAGATTGCTTCAGTGCTAAAAAATCAGTCAGTGCAGAATAAAAACTTTTGACTTCGCTGGGCTTCAAGTTAAAAGTGCAATAATAATAGCAGTAGTGTCATCATTTCAATAAAAAAAGATTTGTACATCATCATTAAACTACGAGTGGGTTGTAGCATAACAAGAATTATTATATCCATTAGCTGTAATTTGAAGTGTAAGGAAGAAGGTGAAAAAGAAGAGAATGAGTCATAATATTCTGAAAGTAAGCGAAAGGGCCATATATAATAATTCAATAACTGTTAGTTATCAATTGCCCACACATCAACCCTACACATCAATGGCATTTGATAAGAATGATGAAATCCGAATTCCAATGCAGAGAAAAATTTGGAACTACAAACTACAATAAATCATATATATGTTAAGTCCACCATCAGTTGGAAAAACCTCGTTTCATCATTATTGGATTCCAAACAAATAGAAAAAATGTGACATCGGAAAGGTTTGACGTTAACAAATTTAAAAGTCTATTTGAACTCAGAAGTGTATCGCTACGATAACCTCAACCTGGACTTTGACTCCAATCCTACTGCCATCTTACATGAAATGTTTGCGCAATTCCAAAAATCTTATTATCATCGTGAGCAGAGTGAACCATGCTTATATCCTATAAACTTGGAACAAGATGCTCCTCTGGTAGTCATCGATTGTTCTCGGCAAGGTGGAGATATCCTCAAAAATAGTGCTGTTGATATTCGTGTAGAATGTGAAACTGTTTGATTCTCCACGATCGACTTGTGAAATACAATTCATTCACCAGCACAGTGCGTATTATTAAGATCTAGCGAAAGAAGATAGAAAAGAAGGAAATGTTTATCCTAGACGTTCAAGGTTTTCAGTTTAAAGACAGCGATTTTATTTGCAAGGAAATTGCAATTTTAAATCAGGCAACTGGTCAGCTATATCATCATCTCATTAATTTAGCAATTCAGTGTAAATTGCTCAACTTCAGGCGTCAAGTTCAGTGGAACATTCAAAACCTGCACGAACTGGATTGGAATAGTTTTGATTTTAGTTTTCTACCTTTAGAGAATATCACAAAATTCATAAAAGAAATTGTTCAAAATAACCTTGTTGTGTCAGGGGCTACAACAAAAAAAGTGTCGCTCTGTAATTTGATAAATAATAATATTGTCGATATGAATAGATTGGGATGTCCAAGTTTCAAAAATTTAAAAATTGTATTGTTTTCAAATTGATTACCTACATTGTAATACACATTCAATAATCATTCTGTTTTTTTTTTCCAGGGAAAATATTTTTTTATTAGATAATTGGTTTGTGAATAAAATGCATTAAAACATATTTTCGATCTTCTGTTATTACATCAAAAAAAAGCTAACTAATCACTAATGACTACTGCTAATAGTCCTAGGTTTGTCATCAACAGCCGCCGCGGCATTGTCTTTATTCCACTCTTCTTCAATGTCGAGCTTCTTCTTCGGACCATAACTTTGCTGTACAACAACAGCTGCTGCTTTGTTGGGGGTTTCTTCATCTAAGAGGTTAAACCTCTTGACTACTCTCCAAAATCTTGAAGTCTGCCTCGTTATTGACTTTTGTACTCTTATAGCGTAGCGGCAGATATTCAAGCTTTCGTTTCAAAGTTATAGCTTTTAGTGAATAAGGTAAATGGATACTAAATTTACCATCCCGCTGCACTATTTCTTTTACACCGTATCTGAAGAATAAAGCCGTTAAATACAATTTCAATGTTTAAAAAAAATATATATATAATAACAAATAAAAAAATACTCACTGAAACTTTTTTCACGACGACCAAAATATCACTGTTTGGGATGTTTATTTTGTCTTCCGTCATGACTAATAAGGTACAGGGCGTATTGGCCATTTTTTTAAATTGAAATGGTAACTTCATTATGTGAATTGACTGTAAGACAACAAACTGATCCTCCATATAAATACTAATTTGAATTTATTTTTATGGATAACGACTGCTAATAATTTATAGGGTTGTGAATAATGGAAAATCGGTCAATCAATAGTTTTATTAACTCTTTTTATAAAGGCTTAGCTTTCGGAGCTTTTTCCTCCTTTTTCAGGACTATATTATTAAAAAATATATAAAATAAATGAAAAATTGAATAAAATTTATTATAATTTTTTTTTACTATACCTTGCATTAAATTTATGATCTGATCTTGTTTTTATTGTAATTTATCATTGATAAAATAGTATAAATTTTTGTAAAAACTTCATATTATGTAGGTATAATAATCTTTTTTGTAAAAAATGTAAATGATGGTATAGATTTTTTTGAAAGTTGATTTGATTAATAGATAATCTTGACAAATTAATCAATGATAGAAGAAAAACAAGATCAGATCATAAACTCACTGCAAGGTATAGTAAAAAAAAAAAATTATAATAATTTTTATTAAATATTTTATTTATTTTATATTCTTTTCAATATCATAGCCTTGAAGAAGAGCAAAAAGCACCGAAAGCTAGGACTCTGTAAAAAGAGTTATTGAAACTATTGATTGACCGATTCCCTATTATTCGCAACCCAGTAATTTGTTGAATAATTTGAATGAAAAAAGTAATGTTAAAGTAATAAACTAATTGACGTCAATCTAGTAGAGCAACACAACGAAGTCAGCTATTAAAATGTATCATTTTGCTGAGTAAGGAATTCATTTGTTATCGATAACTTTCAATTATAGAAAATTTCGTTTCTATCATTGCAGCAAAATAACTTCAAAATATAAAAATATAATTTCTGCACGAGTCAACCATTTTTTTGTGTGTAATTTAAGTTGCCAAGCAAGAAATAAATTTTTTATCGATAACTTTGAATTTTGGAAAATTTCTGGAGCCTTAACACAGCCATTAAAATGACAGGACAGGATACATCATAGGCCTGATTGCCGCTTATCATTATTGACGTGAAACATTGAAAATTTAGTTTTAGTCTTAAACAGCTGATATAAGTGATTTTTAGAGATAGCTTATAGATGGATGGGAGCTTGGTGTCTAATTTTGAAAACACATACGAATACGAGAAAGCCCTCTTCTGTCGAATAATCTGAAATATATATAACGAGAATATATTTTCTAGCTTCTAGACACTGCTCTGGCTTTTAATTTTCAGGTAATTTATCTAGACTTGATGCCATGAATCGAAAACTGGCAAGAAAACGTAACTTTAAAAATACCTGTTTTTGTTTACCCTTTTCATCAAGTTGGACCTTAGCCACCAAAATATGTTTGGTGAATGAAATGTGCCGTTCCTTATTTTGAGGTATAACATCCAATCTCTCGTTTTCTTGAGCCAATTCCTTGACAATAGATGGGACTTGAAATTTGACATACAATGAAAGAATAAGTATTGGAATATGGTTTGGGGCTTTGAAATTTAGGTTACATACAGAGTCAGCTGCACCACGAAAATAACCTGTGATATGGCGGTGTTCCCTAACTCTTTCATCTTCTACTTTCAATGGTTTTTCGCAAATATGACACATTTTCGCATTGCGAAACTCATTCTCTTCTTTTCGACTCAGAGGATGCATGGGCACTATATTTTTCATAAATGGATAAAAGATTGATCTACCAGTCTCTAACCATTCTACAAAAACTTTATGTGCATCATGTCCTCTGAAAGTCTTGGAAATCAAATGAGAATCATCAAAATCGTATTTAATGTAGTAGGCAAAAGAATAAGGAACAGCCTTGTGAGTTTTAACAGTATAGGAATTTTCGGGGTCCAGCTCTTTTTTCTCTGTCCCAACAGATTCAATGATTGCCTCGAAAACAGCGTTAACGACAAGGCACCTTCAATTTCTTTTCGAAATTTATGGATTTCAGAATATTCTCGGGAACGTCTTCACCGAAGAGGCTTTTAGCGGGTTGATCTTATTAAGAGATATATCTAGATGAAGGAGTTGTTGAAGCGTCCAAGTAGTATAGGACTCGGGATACTGGGACACTACCCCCTTGGAAACTACCCCTAGGGTACTAGGGGCACTAGACGACTCCCTCACCAATCCTCCCCTCACCTGTGCCAAATAATTAATAACAGGTAGCTTATTTTAAATGTTCATTTTTTTAACCTGTCTTTTTTTTTCACCTGTCAGTGTCACCTAAAATTTGTCACATCACTCACATCACCTGTGTGATGAATTAGAATGAAAAAAAGTCTTGTGTCTGTGTGTGAAATGGAACCGAAAATTCGCAGGCAATACAAAGTCGATTGGGTAAATCAGTTTCACCCTTACATCTGGGGCATGTATACTTGGTGAGTTCTGGCATTGTAAACAGTATCAACTCTATCAACGTAATGTTTCATTTTAAAAAGAAAGTCTGCTGTTATACACTTTTGGTAGTTGATAATTTCATGCCTTTAATGATAACTTATTTTTAGAGGTTTTTAAAAATAGTACCTGGGGTATATGCATAATAGATTTATAGTTCTGGTCTGAAATATTATGAATGGTATGAATGGGTCTTGATATAAGACAGAGTACCGAGAAATTGCAGCGATACCGGGCGCATCTAACCATTCCGTATATGTATTTGACACCTAGGTCTTTTCTATTGGTTCGGTGTGCCATGCGGTCGTATTTCAACCAATAAACATCTAGGTGCCAAACACAATATACGAAATGTGATGTAGTGCTAAATTCGTATACGGAATGTTACACATTCATAGGACTGACGATTTGAGTTTTATAAGTTGGAAAAACAAAAACATATTAATAGGTAGTCAAAAATCTATTTCGAAAAAGGAAATAGACCATAAGGAAAATTAAATTAAAAAAATATTTAGTACACTAATGTCCTTCTCATGTTTTGTTGCATTTGGTTGGTATGAATCTAAGTTGGCCGAAAGATTGTGAAGCCTGTCTAATCTCTTTTTGGGAGGCTCGTCTTCAAATGATCTTGCAAATAGCAATCTTTTCGAGGCTCTCGTAATTCCCACCTGTCGTCGACTGATTAAAGTTGATTGTACTCTTATGCTTGCCCTGTGTTCAAATCGCCTCGCAGGAGAGCTTCTCATGGTATCAAAACTTTCTCAAGTTGTTTTGGTTTTAATATGCAAAACTTGTCAGGTTGACAAATCAGTTCCATGTTTATGATTTGTATGCAATTTTACCATAAATAAATGCTTATTAAATGCACTGATTGAAAATTATACGAACCTATTTAAAAAAAAAAAAAAACATGTACCGCCAGCTTTAGAAAAGTTAGTAGAACATGACTTAAAAATGCATAAATCATCATGATATCTGCATTGAAATGTTTTATTGTAAATTTAAACTTTTTCTGTTTAATCAGACATTATCAAACTAACCGGGTTAACGACTCAATTTAAACAAATATCTTATCAATTCAACTTACACCATTCAGCAACAGGACAACTTTGTTGCAATAATTTTTGCTGATGTTGTGAAAAAACTTATACAGTAAAATGAAAAAATGAGATAATAATAGTTGGTGATGAAATTGATGGATGCTCACAATTGGTTGCTTGTGGACTGCAAGAATGTGTTGGAAAACTGCTGTTTTTTCCAATTTTTAATTTTAATCAGACCTAATAGTTTTAGCTTATTGGGGTATAAAATTAAAAACTGTGTTATTAGTCTTGGCATAGAAAGAATACAAAATATTGGACATTCCGAAGGGATTTGATCGATTCGAAAATCTTCACTATGCCAAATATTTTCATTTTTATAATCATCTAACTCAATGTAAATGTCCCCATATTTATTGGTTTTATCCAGTAAATATGAAGCGAATCCTCCTGCGGAAAAACATCTAAATCTTAAACTTATATCTAATAATAACTTAAATAAAATGTTCGAGACTAAATCTAAATTTGAGTTGCTCGGGAAATTGATTTTTTTTTGCGTTGAAAACTAGGGTTTTACTTAAATAATCGTAAGCACCAATATTTGTTTATGGAGCTCTACAGAGAAAAAAAAAATTACAAGTTGGACCTATAATAAAATTTAAAAAAATTACCTCATAAATTTGAAAGGATCTGACTGATTTGAGTCACACTAGATTTCCTAATTTTCTCGTCTTGTCGCCATTGTCTCTATTTAAATAGAAAAAAAAAACATATACACATACACACACACACAAACTTAAAAAGAAATAGATAATTACTCAGAATGTTCGGCGGGTAGAAAACCTCCAAAAATTTAAGGTTGGCCCGGGTCAAACTCCCGAAACTTCAGATCAAAGGCGCCGCCGATCTAGAAATTTTCCCACGGTATCGAAAAAGTTCCCAGGCTCAGGTGCCCCTGTTACTACTTTTTTTTCTTCAAAAAATTAAAACAGTTGAGGTTCTTTCTCGTAAACGAATAATAAAATAAAGCATTCAAATCTCAAATTTATACACAAAAAATAGTCGAGGTGTGCAGAAATTTTACATTGTATTGAATTTATTTTTCGTGCGATAATAGAAACGAAATTAATTAAATTAACTGAAGTTATTGATAACAAATTAATTCCTAACTTTGCAAAATGATACATTTTATCAGCTAACTTTGTTGTGTTCCTATGCGAATTTTAAATTTATACAGAAAAAATGGTAGACTTGTGCAGAAATTATACATTGTATTAAAGTTATTTTGCGTAATGATTTATACAGAAAAAATGGTAGACTTGTACAGAAATTATACATTGTATTAAAGTTATTTTGCGTAATGATAGAAACGAAATATTCCAAAATTCAAAGTTATCATGATAACAAGCGAAATGATACATTTTAACAGCTATAACTTTGTTGTGTTCCTATGCGAATCTTAAATTAATAAACAAAAAATGGTTGACTTGTGCAGAAATTATACCTTGTAGTGAAGTTATTTTGCTGTAATAATAATAGGAACGAAATTTTCCGCTAAAATTTGGATAAAATTCATATTTATAATTATTCATACCCATTTCAGCCACAATATACATTTTTCAATAATAACTAACAAAACTCATAAAATAATAATGAGATAAGAAATCCAATAAAATGAGGAATTTTGCAGATAAATGCATACACGGTAAAAAATCGGTTGGAGTGAAATGAATATTTTCAATGAGTTAATGGAAATTGGTGTGAAATTCTGAGTAAAATACTCTTAATTGCTCAAAATTGTGTATACCTAACACACTATTGATTTTAATCAGCCTAAAAATGAGCAGTATACCCAATTTACACAAAATAGGGTAAATATTCTCACAAATTTGAGTCTTTACAACTCAATATTCAATGATTAAATTATATTTTGATAATTGCGCCTGTGCTGTAGATCAAGTTGTACCACAACGTGTCACGTGTCGAGACTAGAGAAGAAATCGAACTAGTGAGGTGAGGTGGTATGTGGAAGTGAGCACTGAGCAGCGTTTTGATCTCTTTGTCGACTTGTTCTTATTGATTGTGATTTGTGGTTGTTGCAAAAACAGAAAAATGGATGAAGCAGAAAAAATCTTATTATTTGAACTTCAATTTTCTGAAAGAAGAATGTGGTGCAAGTAAAAGTTCTAGACATTTTTTCATATATGTATTTGTTAAAAAGATCAAAGAAGGTACCACCAAATTGCTAACCAATAAAACATCGACGTGTGAGAGCGATTTCTTCAAAAATTCGGCGTTTTTTTAAATAATGATTTTTTTCAGACTTTCGCGCAATCCTGTAAAATATTACTCAAAATTTGGAGTTATAAGTTAATCAATATTGAGTCAATTTGTTACACAATAATGAGTCAAACGCTACTCAGAAGAAACTCAATTTTTAGTTGAAAAGTAATTAAAATTGATTATGAATTAATCAAAATTTCGTATGCAAGGATAGCTCAACCTTGGAATTTACACGCTTTTGATTTAAAATCCCTCAAATTTGGGTGAATAAGTACTCAAATATGATTTATAATTTCAACACATTCAAGTGTAATTAGTACTCAAAAATATTGAGTTAATTTTTAACGCAATCCGGTGAGGACCTGTTTGGACAAAGTTTTGAGTTAATTTTAAGTTGATTTTCACTCAAAATTTTTTACCGTGTAGTGTGAGTCTTACTTTTCCTTATAACAACTACAAGTGCTATACTAACTGCATCTACATTTCAAGTAAGTAATTAATTTTTGATTAGTAATAATGTAAGAATTCTCAAAAAATGTATTTATGGATCTAAAATCAATTAATGAAAGCTGTGCCGGCTGGGGTAGACAGGTTGATGAGGTATCATCCGATCAAGTGAGTAAATTAATGGACCATAGCAGATGTATACTTATAAATATTTTCGAACAGAAAAAAAACCTTACCGTCGACCATTCTTGGAATGTAGAACCTGCGGTGGGTACCTATTTCACAGATCAAGTAAGTTGATTTGGGCACAATAGCAGGTGCATACTTATAAACATCTTCGAACAGGAAAAATACCCTGCCGTCGACCATTCTTGGGATGTAGAACCTGCGGTGGGTACCTATATTCCAGATCAAGTAAGTAAATTAGTGGCCAATAGTAGATGTATACTTATAAACATTTTCAAACAGAAAAAAGACCCTAACGTCGACCATTCTTGGGATCTAGAACCTGCGGTGGGTTCCTATTTCACAGATCAAGTAAGTAAATTAGTAGACCATAGCAGATGTATATATGAAAATATTTTCGAAGAGAAAAAATACCGTCGACCATTCTTGGAATGAAGAACCTGCGGTTGGTTCCTATAATCCAGAAGCGTATGTATTATCGAACCGGATAATCCGCTGTGCTCCGCCGAAAATGAGTAAGACGGCAAAAAAAAATAAATTTAGGGAACAAGAATGAAAAAGACACATGGCATTTTTGCGATCTACTTAAATTATTGTAAATATGCATGATACAGGTAACGTTTTTGCTAGTTTTAAGGTGGTTAGAAAATGTACAGTAAGTAGCATTAGGATTTTTAATTTCAAACTTCTATAGTTCATTTTATCATACTAACCATTAGTTTGAGATTGTGGTTTCTATTCTATGTAACTAATAATTTTCAGTTTTAACGTTGTAATTTTTATAATTATAATAAAAATTATTTTTCAAAAAGAAAAAAAAGTAGTTTCTAGTCATCCATTGAATGACCACCCAACTATCCCAAACTCTTCATTCATTCATTTGCCCTAAAAATTTAGTATTTGTATTTTCATTGAAAAGATAACTCATCGCCTGACCAATAAATTATTGTAATGATTGTTTATAACTAGATCTACTAGCTTTTATAATTTTCGAATGGTGCCCAAAAACATTAATTCGAGGCAACAGTCGTTAGTCATTTCTATAAGATGGTCAATGAACATGTCATCAATAAATAACTGTCCCATAAGTGTAATGAATAAATTTTTTTTATTTTAATAAATAATGTCTTAGAGATTGACCTAAAGTAGTTTAAAGTTTTTAGGTAACCTACCTAAGATCTAATATGTATTTCTCTCTCTCCATATTTATTTGAAAAAATAAAATAAAAAACTGCTTAAAATTTTTATCAATGTGTTTTATTTAAAAAATATAATTTAACTTATTATATATTACAAATTAAATTTAAAAAAAAAGTGTCTCCATCATGCACAATGATAATTGTTCATACAATGTAATAATTTTTGTCAGTAATGATTTTAATTGAACAAGAAGTCCTTTAGTAGGACAAGATATATCAAATAAACTCCATTCAAATTTTCCTGCAGCAACAACAGATCTTGTTAATTCATTTATTTATAGAAAGTATTTTGATCAAAAAAGTATAAATGCCCATCCATATAGCTGAAATCTGACGAAATATTCGAAGGTTCTCCTGAGAAGAAATCGTTCACACATCCTGTATTTAATATAGATTGATCCTTCTCATCAACTTCAATAATAATCGCATCATCATGCCAAATATACGTTTTACCAGTATAGGATTGAAATATGGAATTTATTTAACTACTAACTGGTACATTAATCTTAGTAATCACTAAATTGAGAAAAGAAGCTTTATAGAAATAAATATTTCGATTTTTAATTAAATTTGCATTAGAATGTTGGTAGATATGCGACACACCCATTGTGGAGCATAGCCATTATTTCCATCACTAGAATCATCAGTGGTATTTACAGCAAGTTTGGAGTTTATTGATTTAGAATGTGGTGGTAGTTTCTCTATTCATAGTAGTGATAGGGGTAGTTGATTTCTGAGGTAGGGTCGTCCAGTCTCCAAAAAGCGCTTTAAAACCATTTATATCATCGTCACCACTTTACGTTTTTTTTCAGAGCTTTGAACCAAAATTGATCTAAGAAACGATCCTGTTGCCTAGAATATTGGCATTATCCAGAAACTGCAAAATTCAATCTCAAAGACATAATTTATCAAAATAAACTCCCTAACTTTATTCATTACACTTATGGGACAGTTATTTGATGACATGTTCATTGACCACCTTATAGAAAGGACTAACGACTGTTGCCTTAAATTATTGTTTTGGGGTACCATTCGAAAATTACAAAAGCTAGTAGATCTAGTTATGAACAATCATTACAATAATTTATTGGTCAGGCGATGAGTTATCTTTTCAATGAAAATTCAAATACTAAATTTTTAGGGCTAACTATTTAGATTTAAAAATGAATGAAGAGTTTGGGATAGTTGGGTGGTCATTCAATGGATGACTAAAAACTGCTTTTTTTTAAAATATTTTTTATTATAATTATAAAAATTTTAACATTAAGAATAATTTAAGTAGATCGCAAAAATGCCATGTGTCTTTTTCGTTCTTGCTCCCTAATTTTTTTTTTGCCGTCTCATTCATTTTCGGCGGAGGACAGGGGATTATCGGGTTCGATAACACATACGCTTCTGGATTATAGGAACCCACCGCAGGTTCTTCATTCCAAGAATGGTCGACGGTATTTTTTCTCTTCGAAAATATTTATAAGTATTTTGATTGAATCGGCTTTTACTTGGTGGAAATCCATTATCTAATAAAAGATTTTTTAAGTAAATTTTAATACTTATATATTTCCACAATTTTTTGTTAAACTTTTAACATGTTTCGCTAAACTTTAGCTTCATCAGAAAGATTTTAGAAAAATAAAATGTAGACATAAAAGTGAAATTGACAAATATAAAAAAGGTAAAAGCTGGTCTAATTTTATGTTAATTTAAATAGGTATTACACAGTAAATAAATTTAAAAGTGGTGAATTGTTTAAATCTAATTGGTCGTTCAATAAACAGTCTAAAGTTTTAAGTTTGTTTATTTCTAAAGATTCTAGAAGATTTAATTTTATCCCTTTGTTTTCATTATGTAGTATTTGAAATTCATTATTAAAATTATGATTTGATTCTATCAGGTGATTAGCATAATTTGATTCTGTTTTCTTTTTATTGAAACTATTGTAATGTTCTTTAATTCTAGTACCAAAATTTCTACCTGTTTGTCCTATATATACTTTTGGACAATCTTTACAAGATAATTTATAAACGCCAGATTTATCACAAATTTTAGTTTTAGATTTATTATTTTTCAAGTGAAAGCCTATTGTATTGTTAGTTTTGAAAGCAACATTTATATTGTTTTTGTTAAGAAATTTGCTAATTTTCTTACTAGCTTGTCCTTGGAAAGTAATACTTTTGAAATTATTATTATTTTGTAATTTTTTAGGGTATACTAAATTAATGCCATTAATTTTTTAGGGTATACTAAATTAATGCCATTAATTTAGTATACCCTAAAAAATTACAAAATAATAATAATTTCAAAAGTATTACTTTCCAAGGACAAGCTAGTAAGAAAATTAGCAAATTTCTTAACAAAAACAATATAAATGTTGCTTTCAAAACTAACAATACAATAGGCTTTCACTTGAAAAATAATAAATCTAAAACTAAAATTTGTGATAAATCTGGCGTTTATAAATTATCTTGTAAAGATTGTCCAAAAGTATATATAGGACAAACAGGTAGACATTTTGGTACTAGAATTAAAGAACATTACAATAGTTTCAATAAAAAGAAAACAGATTCAAATTATGCTAATCACCTGATAGAATCAAATCATAATTTTAATAATGAATTTCAAATACTACATAATGAAAACAAAGGGATAAAATTAAATCTTCTAGAATCTTTAGAAATAAACAAACTTAAAACTTTAGACTGTTTATTGAACGACCAATTAGATTTAAACAATTCACCACTTTTAAATTTATTTACTGTGTAATACCTATTTAAATTAACATAAAATTAGACCAGCTTTTACCTTTTTTATATTTGTCAATTTCACTTTTATGTCTACATTTTATTTTTCTAAAATCTTTCTGATGAAGCTAAAGTTTAGCGAAACATGTTAAAAGTTTAACAAAAAATTGTGGAAATATATAAGTATTAAAATTTACTTAAAAAATCTTTTATTATTTATAAGTATACATCTGATATGGTCTACTAATTTACTTACTTGATCTGTGGAATAGGAACCCACCGCAGGTTCTATATCCCAAGAATGGTCGACGTTAGGGTCTTTTTTCTGTTTGCAAGAATGGTCAACGGCAGAATATTTTTCCTGTTCGAAAATGTTTATAAGTATACATCTGCTATGGTCCACAAATTTACTTACTTGATCTGTGAAATAGGTACCTACCGCAAGTTTTACATTCCAAGAATGGTCGACGGTAGGGTCTTTTTTCTGTTCGAAAATGTTTATAAGTATACATCTGCTATGGTACACTAATTTACTTACTTGATCGGATGACACCTCATCAAGCTTTCTACCCCAGCCGGCACAGCTTTCGTTAATTGATTTTAGATCCATTTCTAAAACAAGAAAAGAAACTATATTTGCTAATAGTAAATTTGAAATAAAAAAAACAAAAAAAACAAAAAAAAATAATTGTAAATACATTTTTTGAGAACCCTTACATTATTACTAATCAAAAATTAATAAGTTACTTTAAATGTAGATGCACTTAGTATAGCACTTGTAGTTGCTATAAGGAAAAGTAAGACTCACACTATGCATTTATCCGCAAAATTCCTCATTTTATTGGATTTCTTATCTCATTATTATTTTATGGGTTTTTTTTCGTTATTATTGGAAAATGTATATTGTGGCTGAAATGGGTGCATGTATGTATGAATAATTATAAATATGAATTTTATCCAAATTTTAGCGGAAAATTTCGTTCCTATTATTATTACAGCAAAATACCTCCACTACAATGTATAATTTCTGCACAAGTCAACCATTTTTTGTTCATTAATTTAAGATTCGCAGAGGAACACAACAAAGTTATAGCTGTTAAAATGTATCATTTTGCCAAGTAAGGGATTCATTTGTTATCAAGATAACTTTGAATTTTGGAATATTTCGTTTCTATCATTACGCAAAATCACTTTAATACAATGTATAATTTCTGCACAGGTCTACCATTTCTTCTGCATAAATTTAAGATTCGCATAAGAACACAACAAAGTTAGCTGTTAAAATGTATCATTTTGCAAAGTAAGGAATCAATTTGTTATCAATAACTTTAATGAATTTAATTAATTTCGTTTCCATTATCGCACGCAAAATAAATTCAATACAATGTATAATTTCTGCACAACTCGACTATATTTTGTGTATACATTTGAGATTTGAATGCTTTATTTTATTATTGGTTTACGAGAAAAAAAAAAAGTGTACCGAACATTCTGAGTAATTATCTATTTCTTTTTAAGTTTATGTGTGTGTGTATATGTGTATATGTTGCATAAGAGTAGAATCAACTTTACTCAGTCGTGGTGGGAATTACGAGAGCCTCGAAAAGTTTGCCATTTGGAAGATCATTCAAAAACGAGCCTC